GTCTAGGGGGATGGGAGCTGGGGTTGAGAGGTGTGTTAGCTCTCGAAACCCCAAAGGAGCCTCATGCTTCCTCTGCCAGGTGTGGATGAGGCTTCCACAATTCGGGAGGATTGCTGAGATGATGCGAGGGAAGCTACCTCGAATCCTTCCTTCCCTTTCTGACGTGCTTTCATTCTCTCTTGGCTCTTCTTTCCCAGCACCTCCCTCTTTCCCCTCCCTTCTGCTCCTTCTCTGTTCCCCAAGCCGAGAGGAGTCGGAGCCCACACTGCCCCTTGTGCACACACACCTCCACACTCCACTCCCCAACGGAGACAGCCACTGCAGCAGCCAGACAGGCCTCTAGGAGGTTAAAAGCACACGGCCACCGGCCGGCAGCTCTAGGCAGCCAGGTGTGAGGCCTCGGCATAAGGCCTCTGAGCGTGAGGGACCTTGGAACTCACCAGTAGAGCCCAGGACTGGCAGGGTCCGGGGAGGTGCTGGCTGGAGCTGGAGCAAAGCCCTGACCAATGCCCACCTGGCCTGGGAGGGGGTGGGGGTTGAATGACCTTGGCCCCAGGCCAGACAGGGCCCCAGGAGGTGCTGCTCTGGGCCAGCTGAAGACATGGGCTGCTGCTGAACTTGATTCTCTCAACCTCCAGGGCCCAGAGCAGGAGTCCCAGGAGCTGCTTGTCTGGGAGTTGCCACGGCAATCAGGACCCTTCCCACCCCAACCCAGTCCTCACACCTGTCTCCCCAGAGGGTTGAGGGAGGGCAAGCCTAACAACCAGAATTTTCTTGGCTCAGAGATTCTCTCCTAAGTATCAGCACATTTAGCCCTAATGACACATGGGGAAACGGCAATTATCTCCATTTATAAGTGGGGAAACTGAGCTCACAGAAGTTACCCACTGGTCAAGGGTACAGCATATACAGCAGACTGAATGCTTTCTCCTGTGTTGCTGTATCAAAGGCCCTCAACAGCCCAGCGTGAGGACTGCTGGGTGCTTGGCGTACAGGTGCACCCTACCGAGGCTAGGCAGGGTATAGGGAAGCCCTCTGTGGTCCTGTCTGCAGGAAGTGAAGGAGAGACATGCCTTGAGGTGCCCTGGGCCAGCCCCTAGGCAGAGAGCCCACCATGTCAGCTCACCCACACTGCCCCCACGGCCATATTCCTTCATTCCTGGAGCATTTATTAAAGCGTCTTGGAGGCGACCCTGGGTGGCTCCTGCATTAAGCATCTGCCTTCAGCTCGGATCATGATCCCAGGGTTCTGGGATCGAGCCCCACATTGGGCTTCCTGCTCGGCAGAAAGCCTGTTTCTCCCTCTCCCACTCCCACTGCTTGTGTTCCCTCTCTAGCTGTGTCTCTGTCAAATAAATAAATAAAAATCTTAAAAAAAAAAAAAAAAAAAGCCTCTTTCACATCAGGCAAGCATGGAAGTCTGCACCAAAACAGGGGAGGCAGTGAGGAGGCCAAAGCCAGGAGTAGCCACTGGCTGGAGAGGAGAATTAGGGCAGGCTTCATAGAGAAACTGGACCTGAGCAAAGTCTTGAAAGAGACAGAGGAAAGGGGTGACAAACCCATGGTCTCTCCAGTACTCTTCGATTACCCAGGCCCCATTACCAAGTACCAGCCAGGAGAGGGGGAAGTGAAAACCCCAGATGAGACTGGGACCACGATCCCAGTCACTCGCAGGGAGCCAGGAGCCCAAGGAGGGGCCCCTGACTTGACAGGAGAAGGGGTGTCTCTTCTTCAGGTCCAGAGGGAAGACAGGGAGGGTATGGAACTGCGGCAGGGGAGTTTGTGGCTGGGGAAGAAGGATGGGAAGAAGTCTTACCTGCTAGTTTCTCTTTCTAGGTAGGACAGGGGGCGAGCTGAGCTGCTGGAAGAAAGCTGGAGTAGGGCACTTGGAAAGCGTGGGCAAGGTTGGATGTCAACCTTGGAAGAATGGGGAGAGAGAGAGAGCCAACTGAGGACGGTGTAAGGATTGCTGAGCAGAGCTGTGGCCCCCGCTGAAGGCAGGGACCATGGACTCGTCATGGCAGCAGTCTGCATGGCTGGGCGAGCTCCTCCGGCAGTGCTTGGCAACACAGATCCAGATGGGGGCAGAGGGCTGTGGAGGAGAATGGAGCAGAGAAAACAGGGAGCCAGGACAGTGGGGGCATGGATGGGGGATCTTGCTGGGGAGGGGAGGGTGAGGCCACAGAAGGCTAGAAGAACAGAAAGGGGTGGGGTGGGGGGTGGAATGGACAGAGCCTGTAACCAGAGCTGGGATATTCCACTCGAAGATTTCAGAGGGCTCAGTCCCAGGTGGGATAGGTAGAAGGCCGGAAGAAGAGCTGGCTGGAAGGAAGTAGATACGAAAGTCGCCTGCCTCCAGGAGGTCAAGAAGCTTTTATTCATTCATCCTTTCATCAATCAATATTTATCAAATGAGGAATTTGAGAGGCAAGGTGGGAGTTCATAGGGGGAAGGGAGGGAAAAATGAACAAGATGGAACCCGGGAGGGAGAAAAACCGTAAGAGACTCTTAATATAAGGAAACAAACTGAGGGGGTGAGGAGGGAAGGGTGGCTGTGGCTGAGTGACGGACGTTGGGGAGGGTATGTGCTGTGAATTGTGTAAGACTGATGATTCACAGACCTGTACCCCTGTGGCAAATAATACATAATATGTCAATTTAAAAAAAATGAAAAAAAATATTTATCAAGCCCAGGGCACCGGGTGGCTCAGTCAGTTAACTGTCTGCCTTTGGCTTGGGACATGATCCTGGGGTCCTGGGATGGAGCCTCGCATAGGGCTCCCTACTTGTCAGGGAGTCTGCTTCTCCTTCTGCCTCTGCCTGCTGCTCCCCCTACTTCTGCGTGTGTTCTCTCTCTGTCTTTCTGTCTCTCTGTCAAATAAATAAATAAATAAATTTTTAAAGATTTTATTTATTTATTTGACAGACAGAGATCACAAGTAGGCAGAGAGGCAGGCAGAGAGAGGAAAGGAAGCAGGCTCCCTGCTGGGCAGAGAGCCCGATGCGGGGCTCGATACCAGGACCCTGGGATCAGGACCTGAGCCGAAGGCAGAGGCTTTAACCCACTGAGCCACCCAGGCGCCCCAATAAATAAAATCTTTAAAAAATATATTTCTCGAGCACCAACTCTGGCCAATCCTTATGCAAGACACTAGATGCAGGGATGAGCAAAATTTCTTTCCTGCTCCCTGAGGGTCTCACTGTCCCATTAAGGAGGCACATTAATGCCATGATAGCACTCTGTGGTGACACAAGTGTACAAACGTTCCCAGGTGGTGTGGGAGCACACGGAGGGCTCATCACCCAGGAAAGGAGGGGGCGACACTGAATCTGAGCGTTAGGAATGAGTTAGGAGTTACCCAAGCAAGAGATGTGGGAAGGGCTGTCGGGGGGCGGGGGGGGGGCGGGAAACAGAGCTTTCTCCAAGGAGCAACCAGCAGGGCATGTTGTGAACCCCTGGCCATTTGGTGAGGCCAAAGGGTAAAGGACAAAGCAAGGAGTGGGGAGAGGTGAGGTGGGAGGAGCAGGATCCCTGAGGACCCTGTAGGCCAGGCACGAGGGCACTTTGAAGGGATTTTAGCAAGGGAGCAGCAGAATCAGATTTGCATTTTAGAAAGATCACTGGGGCTGCAGTGTGGATAATTGATTGGAGCTGAGCGAGGAAGCAGACAGAGAGAATGGTTCAAGGCCACAGGGCAGCGGGGGTGGCAAGAAGAGGGCACAGTCAAGAAATATTTAGGATTCCAAATCAGCAGGATTCAACGCCTTTATTCGTGGGGGACAGGAAGGAGAGAAGGTTCAAGGACGATTCCTGGGTGCCACCAAGGGAGTTGGAAAAAACCGGAAGAGTGCATGGGGGGGCAGAGGGAGTGAGCACAGAGAGAGCTGAGGGTCTCATTTTAGGACATGTCGCATTTGAGGAGCCTAAAGACAACCAGGACATATCCACTGAGCAGGGATTTATGGCCAGGGGCGAGGTCAGGGCACCCCGTAGTGATGAAGAGGCGAAGACCATTGTTTCCACAGCTCCACAGATTGTACTTAGGGAGGCAACACCTTTGTTTGAGGAAATATCTTTATATCTTTATATGCTGCTGGGGTGCAAAGGGCAGAGCCTAGGCCCTGGATGACCTTAGGGCCAGCATCGCCACAAAAATGGCTCAGCGGCCCTGTGTGAGACCTGAGAGGAATTGCTCAGGCTCCTGAGAAGGAGGAGAGCAGGGCAGTGGTGGGGGAGAGGGCCTGAGAGGGAGGGGGCAGGCAAGGGAGACAGGACAGGGCAAGGACAAGCCAGTGGAAATTCCCAGCTCACAGGGGAGAAATTCTCCACTGCCATGTGTGTCATCTGATCAGCTGTGGAAGACGCCCCTTCTCCCCATGTCCCCGCTGCGCCCACACAGACCCAGGTCCTTAGTAAAGTTGACTCTGTTCATATCTGCTTTCTGTGAGTAGGGATTTAGGTGGGAAAGGAGGAAAGAGCTTCATTTCACATGTGGGTTTATGGGGCATTGAATAGTGTGAGTCCATTAGGAGGCAGAGCTTGGAGGCAGGGGTGGGGGAGGGCAGGACAGCAGGGAACATCCTGGGAACACCCAGGACCCTCGAAGCCGGCCTTGGACTTGGGGATGTGAGGAGCTTCTCCATCTAAGCTGGAATCCCATGCCCACCACTAGCCCTGCCCCTGCCCCCCTCAGGCTGGGCTCCAGCCTGCGGCAGCCTTACCTCTGTCCAGGCTCAGGAACCTGGAGGTTCCAGCTCAGCGCCTGGGGGCTGCCCCCCTCCCTCCAGCTGGGAGGTGAGCTTAGGGCGGAGCAAGCTAGGGAGCACCCCTCCTCATCCCAGCATCACACCTCCCACCCACGGAGACACACACAAGCCTGCTCCCTGCCAGTCTGACCAGCAGGTCCGTGGGTCAGCAGCTAGGAGAGGAGCAGGCCGGACACAAGAGACCCACCAAGATAGCCGAGATCAGAGGCTAGAGAAACAGAGGTCCCAGAAGTAGAGGCAGCTGCTGAGGCAGCCGGAGCCGGACCCAGGGCAGCCTGGCAGGTGAGGCTGGGCCAGCATGTTGGCCTGCGGGTTCTGGAGAGCTATCAGCAGGGCGCTGTTCGCCGAGTTCCTGGCCACGGGACTGTACGTGTTCTTCGGGGTGGGCTCAGCTCTGCCCTGGCCCTCGGCGCTCCCCACAGTGCTGCAGATCGCCATCACCTTCAACCTGGCCACGGCTGTGGCTGTGCAGGTCACCTGGAAAACCAGCGGGGGCCACATCAATCCTGCCGTGACTCTGGCCTTCCTCGTGGGCTCCCAAATCTCCCTGCCCCGTGCCGTGGCCTATGTGGCTGCCCAGCTGGCAGGGGCCACTGCGGGGGCTGCTCTGCTTTATGGGGTCATCCCAGGAGACATCCGAGAGACCCTTGGGGTTAACATGGTAGGTGCAGGGAGGGGACCTGGCAGGCCTAGGAAGGGATGCCCCCGAGGGGGGTAAGGGTGGAGGGCCAGGCCTGAGGAGCAGGGACGGGAGGTAATATCTCAGCCACGTGCTCCTTACCTGCTCTGGGCTGAGCCTTGGGACACAGGAGAAGCCGACTGTGGCCTCAGTGCAGGCAGAGCAGGAATGGGGTTATGGCACCAGGAACAGGTGGAACAGGGCCAGGAGTCAGGAAAGGACCAGGCATTGAAGGGTCAGGGTGGCCAGGGATACCTGGGGCTGTGGGTAGTGGCAGGAGTCCCGGCATGCCCTTCTTCTCTCCCAGTCTACCCCACGAGCCCTGCTCCTCGGCGTCCCCATGTTCCTCCTTCCCCTGAGGCCTGTCTCACTCCCCCAGATTCCCCTAATCATCTATCCTTCCACCTACTTCTCCAAGTCTCCTCCTTCTACTCCTACCCACGGTCTCCTCCCAGTCTGCTCAAAAACCTGTACACCACCCCCTCCCCTGCTCTGAGCCTTCCCTCCCCCATCAGAACTAAGCCCCTTGCCAAGTACGGGCCCCAGCCAACTGGTGGGCTAGGAGGGGGGGCTGCTCCCTTCTGCAGGGAGCAGGAGTCCAGGGCTGACCGGAACTCCACTGCACAGGTCTCTCCATCTCCTTGGGTCCTGGAACCTGGGGTGGTGAGGTGTCACCCCCCTACGGTGGGGCAATGAGGCCTGAGCGGGTCACCAGCCAGCATCACCTCCAGCACAGCCTCCTCATCCAGGTCCGGAGCAGCGTCTCAACAGGCCAGGCCGTGGTTGTGGAGCTGGTTCTGACCCTGCAGCTGGTACTCTGTGTTTTTGTTTGCACCGACGGCCGGCAGGCATCGGGCTCCCCAGCCACCATGATGGGGATCTCTCTGGCACTGGGGCATCTCATTGGGGTAAGAGGCAAAGTGGACACCGTGGACATGCACTCACTGGTCACTCCCCGAGGAGCCTGCAGGGACCCTGAAGGCCAGGAAGTGTCCCTCCCTGAGTCCTTAGTGGGTTGGGTCGAGGCTGTGTTCCCACAATCCAGGTCTGGGGTATGGTGCTGTCGTGGTCAAGGCTCTAAGCCAGGACAGAGGGGGTTGTCTCCTCCTGGGCCTGCCTTAAGCCTCCTCACACCCTAAACCATCACTTGCCCTCCAGGTCTACTTCACAGGCTGCTCCATGAACCCGGCCCGCTCCTTTGGCCCCGCCATCATCGTTGGGAAGTTTGAGGTCCACTGGGTGAGAGCCTCTGCTGGCCGCCATGGGATGGGAAGGACCTGGGCAAGGGCGATAGGGACTGTGGCTCTCACCAGTGGGCGGTCCACGGGGACTTGGGGAGATGGGACCCCCACCACAGACCATCTTGACCCCCAAGTGGAGGTTTCCCTTGGCTTGGAAGACAAAGGCAAGTGTCCTGGCTTGTACTTCCTTTCTTTCCAGCTTCAAGAGCCAAGGGGACCCAGTAGGCTGTTAATAAATGGGCCGGGGCGGGAGACACAGGCTTGGCCCAGGCCTCAAGTCCTGGCTGTTTCCTTATTCACTTCCTCCAGCTGGACCAGTTTCCAAACTTGGATAAAGAAAAAGACAAACAGAAATAGACACACACACACCAGAAGAAGCAGGAACAGCACTTAGCCAGGGCTCCTGGTTGGAACAGGGGAGGCAAGAGGAGGGAAGCAGGAGTGGTGAGGAGACTGGGCCTGCCCCCACGCAAGGCAAGGTCACCTCACCTGCAGAGACTTGGCAGGCAGGATGCCTGTTTCTCCATTTTGTCACCATGTAGAGAGCCTGAGGGGTCCTGGTAGACCAAGTTAATACTAGGGAAGCAGGCTAGGATGCCGAATCTACCCTGTGATCTTGATGACTCATGCCTGCTTCTCTCTGCCTCCTCAGATCTTCTGGGTGGGACCCCTGGCAGGAGCTGTCCTGGCTTCCCTGATCTACAACTTTATCCTCTTCCCTGGCACCAAGACCATGGCCCAGCGACTGGCCATCCTCATGGGTAGTGAAGAAGTGGAGAAAGTGGCAGAAGAGGAGCCCGAGAAGAGAGAATCCCAGTCCAGTTCAGGGGACACAGAATCGGGGAACACGTGTCAGACAGTATAGAACAGGGCCCCTCATCTTTGGGCTTCTGCGAGGAGCCCTTTAGGTGGATAGCCTGCCTTGTACAACCAGATGTCAGGTTTTATGGCGGGGAGGGGGAGAGGATGAGGGCAGGAAGGATGGGGAGGCTAGGCCTCTTGTCCTAACAGGGTGGGCCGGGAATGCCAATCCCTATCCCTGGCATTATATTTCTAGACAGAAAGAATCTGGGGAGCAAATCTGTTCAGTTTCCTCCTCCTACATCTCTTAATGGGACAGAGCAGAAGGAGGCAGGGAAATTCATGACTGCCCTCCTCTTCTCTCATCCATCTGGATCCTAGTGGGCATCGTGGGCCTCCAGATCGCCTTGTCTTGGGTATTAGAGCCAGACAGCCATTCAGCTTAGATACTAAGGGCTATAGAGACCTTGGGGAACCTCAACATCTCACCCACCCTTGAAGGGAAAGCCAGAATTCCCAGAAGAATCAGGTCCTGGGATGGTCTCTGAGCTCTTCACATGGATATCTCTGCTCTTGGGTATAGTTTGGGGGCTACAGACCAGCCCTCAGCCTAAGGCTGTGCCCTGAGGACAGAGACTGTCCTTCCAATCGATCTTCATTCCTCAGGCCTCTAAATACACAGGAGAGGACCCTGCCCTGGGGAAGAGCTGACCCAGAGAGGAGCCTTTTCTAGGGCAGACAGAGGGGAAGGATATAGGCAAGGGAGCTTTGGGTCTCAAAGGAGAGCCAGGGCAGGCTCTCCCCAGATGTTTGCCCACCTTCTACCCCACAGCCCCATCCATGGGAACAATCCTGAGAGGAGAAGGTCCTTATCCCAGCCCCTTGTTCATGACCTGGGCCATAAGCTCTCTCCAGCCTCATTTGCAATTTTGCCAGGATCCTCAAAAAGCTACTAAAGAAGTCCCAAGGATGGTAAGAACTTAGGAATGACCCAAGAAACCAGAATTTGCAGTTCAGTGCTTCTGAAGGACAGCAAGCCTCAGTCGGTTTGTTAGTATTTATAAGCTGCTGTAAATACTGTCCCCCCATGACTTGGGGCTCTATGGATCTCAGCTTCCCCAGCTATAAAATGGGCACAGTCCTCCCCTATCGCCCGCTGTCAAAACAAACAAGAGACTGGAAAATGTTTTCGGAAGTTAAAATGTTAGAAAAACAAACCCAATAAACGATGATTATTGTCACTGTTACTGTAATTACCGGGTTTGAATACAATTGCTGTTGGTAATGGGAGGGTGGATGGAAGAAGGGAGAGGAGGATGATTGAGAGGGAAGGAAAATGGGCTTTTCTCCTTTCATCTGTTCCACTTACTTGCACTGCCTCCTTCTCTCCTGGATCCACTGACCCGGGAGCTTTGTGTGTGTGGAGGGGTTGAGGAGGGCCACTGGAACAAAGAGACAAGCCAATAAAAGTCAGTTCTTCTCATCTCTATGGTGCCCATCACCATGGTACCCTGAGATACAGCAACCAAATGCATAAAAAAGATAGGTCCTTTTCCATGATGTCTCCAAAGGCGCTGGGCATGGGAGGGGCTCCCAAAGTCTTTCATGGGCAGGGTGACAGAGCCCAGCCGGTAACTAGAGCAAGAGCTGTGTCCCCAGGTGCTTTTGGCCACAGTGACCGTGTTCAGAGTTCTGTGATATTGTCAGTGTGGAGTACTATTTACATCTCTCCAAGCCAGGCCCCTCTCATCCATCTTCACAATCTCTCAGAGCCCAGGGCTCCCCGTGCCCTTTTATGAGCAGGGATAGCTGAGTGTGGGGGAGGGGGCAGGGCTGTGATTGACTTGCTAAAGGTCACCCAGCTCAGTACCAAAGCCCCCTAAGGTCTCCTCAGCTCCCAGCTTAGAATTTTTCAAAACAGAGCTCTGGGGGGTCTATACAAGCTCTAGCGGGAGGAAGGAAGAAAGGAAGGAAGGAAGGACAGAAGGATGGATGGACTGGAAAGTTGACAAAGGCAGGAGGGCGGAGCTCCTGCAGTAGGCTCCAAAGCTCCTAGACAAATTATCTCTGCATCCCCAGAGCTGAGCACACACTGGGTGCTCAATGGAAGTTTAATGAATCAGTGACCGAGACTGGGTGACTGGGGAGGGAGGGGAGGCGGTCATTGATCAAGAGAATTCAGGAGGTGCAACTTCCAGTGTGCCAGGATGAGAGCGGCTGAGGCGCCTGTGCTTGCAGGGAGGGAAAGCTGGGACCATGGGGCACAGCCGCCCTGGAGCCTCAGAGAGCTCCCTGGAGCTCCTCAGGAGCAGACTGCAGACCCTCTATCTCGGGAACTTCCGGGACAAAGGGGTCAGACTGCTTGGAGAGAGCCGGGGCTAGTTTCATGAATAGTTCTTTAAAGCTGTGCTCTGTTGGAATAGGCTAGAGCAAGGGGGGAGACAAGCTTCATGAAAAAGTGAGGAAATAGGTTAGAATCTGAAGAGCATCCAAAGTTAGACACAGGAATGAGTAACCAAAGGTTAGTGTCTCCTTCTCTGGCGCCCTTTAATAGGACAGCCAGCCATCTGTTTGGATGAGGGAAGGGCTGGCCCTTGGGGAGCCAAGTTCACAGGTACCAGCCTGGGGCAACGGGGCTTCACAACCCCAGCCCCTGGGCCTGGGGTAGGGTGAGAGGGTGGCATCAGTGGGAGCGTGGGGAGGACTGAGACCCAACCAGGCAGACCCTCGGTGTGCACTCCCTTCCTCCCAGTTGTCACGGGAAGTTTTTAATTAATGGTGTGTAATCTGATCTGGCCCTTCTCCCCGCTGAGCACTGCCTTCAATCAGCAGAGCCATCTGCAATTGCAATTCATAATTCTCCCGAAAGGGAGGGGGGTGCCTTGGTGATTAATACAATTAGCCTTTTATGTTGATGATTGCCTTAGCAGGAGCAGATGATGTGAGCTCAGAGCCTAGGCTGCCATGTCCCCAGTTGGCTGGCAGGAAGCCCCTCTCCACTTCCCAACCCCACTGCTACCTCTGGCTGGAAAGAGGACACACTGGGACCACACTGGGCAGGGGAGGGGTGCGGGGAGCCCACCAAGGGGCCAGGGCTCTGGGACACATTTGGGCTGCTGGGACTGAGGGGAGAGAAGAGACTTTTCACTTTCCAAAGAACATCACTTTGACTTAAAGGATTCTGTGCACCATATTACCATATTAAAAAAAAAAAAAAAAGGAAGAAGGCTACATAAAGGTATAATAGGGGTTGAAAGGGTTGAAAAAGTTGAAATACAGGCTCAGAAGTTACAGCTGGGTGAACTTAAGCAAGTTACTTAAGCATCCTGAGCCTCACTATCCTCACCTAGAAAATGGGATCTATTCAGTAAGGTGGCAGGAACCACACGGGATGAATGTGATTAGCTAGGCAGCCCCCTGACACAAATCTCCGTTGGTGGTAGGGTTGTCGCCATCATGGCGGTAGACTGCTGACTGCCATTCTCTCTTGCCAATGGTTCAGCTGCTTCCCAGCAGTTCCTAAGGCAGCCCAGCCCGCTATTACTGAAGGACCCACTTCCTCCCCATACCCCAGGCTTAGTTAGCTTAAGCAGAGGATAGTGTGTATATGAGTGTGTAGGGGAAGGAGGATCCCAGAGGAAAGAGGAGTCAAGATTCAGACCCAAAGGGCACCCAGCTGGCTTAGTTGGAAGAGTATGTGACTCTTGATCTCGGGGTTGTGAGTTCGAGCCCTATGTTGGTTGTAGAGATTACTAAAAATAAATAAATTTTTTTAAAAAAGGGAAAAACGGGGACGCCTGGGTGGCTCAGTTGGTTAAGCCGCTGCCTTCGGCTCAGGTCATGATCCCAGAGTCCTGGGATCGAGTCCCACATCGGGCTCCTTGCTCGGCAGGGAGCTTGCTTCTCTCTGTGTCTCTGCCTGCCACTCTGCTGCGCTCGCTCTCGTGCTCTCTCTCTTTGACAAATAAATAAATAAAATCTTTTTTAAAAATAAATAAATAAAAAAGGAAAAAATGAATGAAACTCAAGAAAGAAGGAAAGGCCTCCCCAGAACAGAGAGGTGGAGCACTGGAGTGACTGTGGCTGAAAGCTGGTTTGCAGGAAGATCCAGGAAATGAGAGTAAGGAGGCCAGGTGCCTATCAAGGAGTACAAAGATGCAGGACTTTGAGCATCTGGAATTTCACAGGAAAGCTAAGAAATCAAAGGGAAGCAGCCATCAGAGCTGAGCATTTAAGAGGTGGCACCGATGAAAGTCAGGGATCTCTGATTTATAGTAAGGTCAGATGATCCTGAACAAGCTGACTGGGGACTTGATGGGAGAGTGCCCGTGGTCAGGAGAGGATATAGCCTCAGTCCCTCCCAGCCCATAGCCCTGCACTCCAGGACCCTGAGCAGCAGAAGAGAGCCCCTTATCAACAGGGATGTTGACCTAGCGCCAATGCCAGGCCCCGGCAATGTCAGAGGGAAGACAGGGAGCAAAGAAGGGAGGGGAGAAGCTAAGGGCTAATCAAGAAGAAGCATCTGGCCAAACAGTGGTCACTGGGGGCAGCTGGGGCAGGGGGTCTGCATGGCCAAGTTGTGCAATCACCTCTTGAGGAGGGGCAGCTACACTGAGGAGCAGTCGCAGTCAGCCAAAGCTGGAGGGGAGGCGCGGTTAGGGAAGGGGGCTTATGAGACTGTGGAGTCTGACAGCACTAATTAGTAGGCTGCAGTGAAGGGGCAGAGAAGGGGGAAATGCAAGCTGTTTCAGAGCTCTGATTAAGTCAGCGAAAGGGACAGTTATTTTTTTTCCATTTTTAAAAAAACTTTTTATTTTTTATTAACACATAATGTATTATTAGCCCCAGGGGTACAGGTCTGTGAATCACCAGGTTTACACCCTTCACAGCACTCACCATAGCACATACAAAGGGGCAGTTATTGCCAAAACTGGGAGCAGGGGATGCCACTGATGGTGGCAGAGACTAACAACTCCACCCCAGCTCCGTGGACGTATGGAACAAGGCCCATCCAGGCCAGGGCACAGCCTGGGATCCAGAGGAGAGGCTGGGGCAGTCCTCAGTATCCAGTTGGACTGGAGGTGCCTCTCCGCCCAGAATATGCTTCCTGGTCCTCTCTGGCTGCCCTGTGTGGCCTGACGTGCAGCTTAATGTCATGGCCTCAGGCTGGTAAGCCTCCAGGGCCTCCCTCCAGAGCTCCCCAGAGCACGCAACATGCTACTTCACAATTATTTGAACACTTCTCTCCACAGCAACGTAAAGACCTTCTTAAACAAAAATTAGATTTTTAGTCTCCTCATCTCAGGGCAACAATTTCCTTAACTTGGCTATCTGTCCTCTTTTTGTTGGTCCCCAAATCATGGCCGTCCAGTTTCACGGGAGGAAAGACCTCTGATACTCTGGATTTGGTGAGCAAGTCGGACAAGGGATTGCAGTAAACACTCCCAGCTCCCTGCCCGAACAGACCTCTGACCTCCTCTGTGTTAAAGCACCCTAGGCTTTCGGTGCTGCACTCATTTCAGAACTCCACTAGGAAGTTCTAGTATTTTGGTCATAGCCTCACTGATTCACAGTGACTTTTTTCTTACCCTTCCCCAATTCCGGGGTCACATGTAATGGCTCTAGGGGCCATGAGTGGGACAGATTTTGATTCTATCCTACACATTACCTGCCTGTCTCTTTGTGCCAGATGTGCTGGAGCTGAGCTCTCCTTTTCCTATCCTGCAGCTTCCCTCAGACACAGAGAACACAGAGAACTCCCTGTTTTAAAGCTCTTGGACCACAGCTAAATAGCAGATTCCCTGACCTCCTCATCTGTTCTAGCCAACACCCTATCTCCTGCGAACAGCAAACACTTTCAGCCCAAATAACATTGATAGTAAGATGCTTGGCTATTTTATAAGAAAAAACACCGCATTGTTTTTGTAAGATGCCATTGATTATAAGATATTCCAATTCTCAGAACTATTAAAGCATGTTTTTAAGTGCATCTTACAACCAAGGAAATGATTGTTTCTCCTTCAGATCTTTGCTCTTTATTTATTTTATTTATTTATTTAAAAGATTTACTTATTTGAGAGAGAGTGAACTTGCAGGCACACGAGTGGAGGGAGGGGCAAGAGGGAAAGGGAAGAACCTCAAGCAGGTTCTGTGCTGAGCAAAGAGCCCAACAGGCCTCTATCCCACAACCCTGAGATCATAACCTGAGTGGAAACCAACAGTCAGACACTTAACCAACTGAGCCACCCAGGCA